ACGCAAGGAGGACCGCAGAACCTCAGTCGACCTCGCAATCGCGCGCGAGTCTCTTAATCATCCCGGCTCTTGTTTCAAATTGTTTCTTCATCTTCTCAACCCCGCAGACGCGATGACCAAAGTTGCCGTCTCCAAATGTTCCCAGGCGACGGGGCGCGCGATTCGGAGGGGCTTCTTGGGCCTGAGCGACGCTGAGTCCGAGCGCGCCCATCTCCTGGCCGGCGGCGAGAAGGGCCGCCGGAGCCGCGGGGCCAGCCGCCGCTATCTTCAAGGCCGCGAGGGGCGGCTCGAGGAGTCAGGCCGACAGTGCTGGGGGGAACTGTGGAATCACGACCCTCCTTCGTCCTGACTCACCGGCGTTTTTGTTTTATCGCGCGCACGCTGCGCATTCTATTTACAACGGTTCCTATCGAGACGCCTTCTCTGCGGACACACGTAGCTCAAGGCCGTTGATCATATTGTGCGTGATGGGAAAGAAATCATCTTAGTCTGATAAGATTGCGATGGCCGCCTGAACCTGTCGCGCCCACACCTCGCGACGGCGATCCACGCACCCAACGGCCTCGACGAGAACGACTCCCGCGACCTAGTCAGCCGCGCGGCCAACGACGCGGGGCCGCTCAGCCTCAAGCTCACCAGCGACAAACACTTCCAGCGCTCGTCATTGGAAGCGGACTACGGCGGCCAAGCGCATCGCCCCTCCGAGCCAACGAGGGTTCGTCAGTAGGCGCAACTTCCTTCAAACATCGTCGACATCAATGCCTACGGTCGCGTATCGTCGAGCACCCGCTTCTCATGCTGCTTGACTTCGCAGCGGCTTTCCCCTCATCGGGGTGGCCCTGGCTCTTCCTGTGCCTCGATGCGCTCAGACTCTCTGCTGGCATGTTCAGCGCCATCGCGGTGCTGCTGTCAGTTCTCACGGCCACCATACCCGCTTCACCCAGTGGATCCCCAGCGGCGCCTTGCAGGGGTGCCACCTCAGAGGCGATTAATTGGTGGCGGCCAGTGCGCCTCTCATGTGCGACACGTGGCAGAACGCCGCCCTTCGCAAGAACGGGGCTACCAGATGCTGCGCGGACGACGTCGGAGCGGTTACGTTCGGCGCCTCCAGGCGACGCACGCTGGGCTGCATTTTCGGGCGGGCCGAGTCCTTCGCCACGCTCATGCTCAAGCCCGAAAAGTACGCCACGGCGCCGCTCGCCGTTGAGGTCGGTCCCGAGTATATCTGGTCCACGCAGGTACTTGGAGCAGTCTGCCCATGCGGGGCGCGATTCAAGGACGGCGACTCGGCGGCATTCCTTGGTTTCATCATTGGCCCAAGTGTCACTGCGGCCGCCAATCTCGCCGCGCCGCTGCTGACGCGGCAGGACCGCGCCAGGTTCACTGCTGGCTCTCCTGCCGACGCCTTCGCGAAGGCCGAGCTCTATGTCACTTGGGCACTTCCGACAGTCTCACACGTCTCCCAGCTACTCCCTCTGCCGCATGAGCTTCGCGCCACGGAGGTCGGCATCTTGTCGCGGATCCTCAAGGTGCCCGCGACTGGTACTGGTACTGGTACGTCAAACACCGCGTGGTGCGTGGACTGAGCTTGGCGCAAGCAAGGAAGACAGAGCGTCATGTCCACGGCGAATTCCTTGTGCGGCCTGCCAACCCCCCTCGTTGAAGCGGCCGTCAAAGGTGTCAGGGAGCCAGCAGCGGCGAACGTGCATGTCCTGAGAGGGTGGCCCGCATCTTGTCGTAATACATCACCGAATAACGACGTCTGCTTGCAGAGCAATTGCCTGAACGCCGGGGCGTGGTTAGCACGGATCAGGACGTCGATGTTTCGCACCCGTGAAATCCACGACGGGTGGACACCGATAATCTGCCTGACACACCGGTTCTGGAATCCGCCCAGACGCCGCAGCTGCGACTTGGTCAAGCACGACCCAGCAAGGCCGTACAAGAGCTTGGATTCCACAATAGAACTATAGATGCGCAGCTTCCGCGGCCAGGTTAATGAAGAATGCGACCATACTTCCTGCAGCGTTGTGCAATTCCGCTTGGCCTCGCCAATTTTTCGGCCCGGCTCGTGCCCCATGTCTGCACGTACCGATAAGTGTGCTCCGAGGTATTGCAGATGCTGCACCTGTTTGAGCGGAGTGCCGTCCGGGGCCGATATGTTTCCTCTTGACCGCACTGCGACAACTTGGAATTTATCCCAATGCAGTTCCATCCCGTATCGTTTGTCCGCACATGCGATGGCGCGCAGATACTCGTTCAGGTGTGCTTCGTCTGACCCGATAAGGAGCGTATCGTCTGCGTATATGCAATCGGAGAACTCGCCATTCTCGTACGCCTCCCTGGCGCCGCCAGCGAGCAACGCGACAGCGTCGTGTAGGAGCACGGTCATCACAAGGACAAACAGAAGAGGGCTGAGGGTGCACCCTTGTGAGATGCCAGAAGGTTGCGGTCTAGAATCGGACTGGTTGTTACACTCTCGCACCACGAACAGCCTCTGCGTGCACTTTACCAGATTGACGCCATTGGGTCACCAAGGGCGGCCCCGAGCAACTTCCCATCATCGTCCAGGGTGTGGCGGCCACGGCAAGAACGGCAAGCACCGCGTCCACGCGCTGGAAACTCCTTCCACGGCTCATCGAGGACGCGGCCCAACGCTTTCTCCCCCTGACGGCACGAGCACGAGGAGCCCAGGACAACGGCATCTGCGGGGAGCCCCCGTGGATCGACCATTTGGTGGAGGCCAGCAGCAGCTTCCTTCATCTCCCCCACTTGTGCCACCGCTCGGACGCCCTCATCCGCCAGCTGGCGAACTGGCGGAAGGCCGACGGCGACGCGAAGGATGTGCTCCAGAAGCGGTTCAGCCGCACCCTCACGCGGTGCATCATGCCCACGACGACGGCATCAAAGCTCAAGGAGTGCATCCTCAAGTGGCTTCCAGAGGCCGCAGGCGCCGCGAACACTCTCGACTGGGACGCCCACCAGGAGCGCCAGCCTCAAGGCTCGCTGATACGAAAACGTGGCTCGGCGCTGGCCGACGGGACGGCCATTGCCAGGATGCGGCCGTGATCGAGAATGTCCGTTCGGATGCGCCCGCGGCGGAGACGACATCACGCAGCTGTGGCCCATTGCCCGAGGTTCAATCTCACGGGGTGGCGACTCGCAGCTCGGCCTTTCCCCCGTTGGAACACATGTCGCACACTGCCAGAATTCGTCCACGACGAGGGCGTCCCACGGACGAAACGCTGCGGGACATCGGGGCAGTTGCACGTTACGCGGTCCGCTTGGCCAGTGGAGGCGTGACCCGGCGGTGGGCACCAGCCTCGGCGACCTCATCCTCATCATCACTCACAGCCTCTGATTCGACGGTGCCGCGCCCTCGGCGTATGCCGATGGTCTCCTCGTCCGATTCCGACATCTTTGCAGTCAGCTTTTCATCGGCGGGATCCATCTCGATCTAGATCGCCGCGATCCCACCCACCTTGCTCGCCTCGGCGCCACGTGGCGCCGATGCCCTTCATGCTGATGCGGGTGCGACTCCCGAGTCACGGGCCGCTCGTTCCCTTCCCGGCGATGCTCCTGTGGCCCAGAGCGCCGGGGCGGCGGCCGCTTTCTCGTCAGTGTCATCATCCATGTCTGCGGCAGCCCCTGAGTTGCCGACCCCGCCTCTCTCTCTCTCGCTCTCTCTCTCTTCCTTGCGGGCAGCGCTGGGGTGTCAGGAAGGATGGGACGTTTCGATGCATCACGCTGGCGGAGGACGAGGAGGCGGAGAAGGAGAAAGAGGAGGAAGAGGAGGAGGACGCGGGGGGAAAAGGAGGAGGAAGAGGAGGAGGAGAAGGACGGGGAGGAGCACGGAGGGGAGGAGGAGGAGGTTCTGCGCGCTGCTTCGTGACCTCATCCCCGAGTGTTGCCCCATCACGTTGCCTATTGTGAGCACTCTGGACTAGTAATGGCGGGGCTCCACGTCAACATCGAGCAATCCCCGAAGTTCGCGTTGGACTGCATAGCTCTTTCCCGAGGCGCTTCGCAGCAGGACATACGCCTCAAGGGCCCCACCTTCCTTAGTGATTGTTGGAGGGTTTGGGCGCATGCCAGGCCAGGGCCATGGCTGTCGTGCTCCCATACGACAACTCACCGCAGCGCTAAAGTTGCGGTCAGCGATTCAGACAGATGTAGAATATTGGGCAATCGAATGCCGCCGGGGCAGAATCTTGATCCCAGGTCCCTTGCAGACTGCACGCTAGCCTTTGAAGAGTATGTTGAGCTCGTGAAAGCGCAGGGACGGTTCTGCGCAGCTGGCCCCCCTCGCGTGAGCATTGTGGTCCCCACCCCCCCAGTTGGACCAGCAATGGTTACCATTGTACTGCGTGTTGAAAAAGGGTTGCCCATCAATGTAGGAGGCCTTGCTCATCAGAATGCCCTCCCTCCCTGACAGAGGCATGTAATAAGCAGCGAGCCCTTCACCACCATTTCCTGAGCATGGGGTGGATCGATGCGAGTAAGATGCCTGCTACAGTTTGCAATCTGTGCGGGGGGGACTTTAGCATGGAGAGGGGCACTCAGCCCTCCCTGCCTTTCGCAACAGGATCGCCTGAGGCAGCAGACAAGAGGTGGCTCGCTGGCATGGGGCGACCGCCTCCCCCCCCGCGTCAGCAGTGAGCTTCGGAAGCTCCAGCGCGGATGCGTGCAAGGGACCCCACGTTGCCCAGCACCCCTTGAGGAAGAATAGGTAAATGCGATTTGACATAGGTTTGAAGTGATCCACTGAAATCCTCTGCTCCTTATTCGTCGCGGCTGTACTGCAGTATCCCTTTCCAGGACGGTGCGTGTCGTGCTTGCACGACGGCCTGGATTCAATTTTATTCTATGCTACAGGAGGAGGAGGAGGAGGAGGAGGAGGAGGAGGAGGAGGGAGGGAGGGAGGGAGGGAGGGAGGGAGGGAGGGACAGAGAGAGAACGAGGAGGAGGAGGAAGGAGGAGGAGGAGGAGGAAGACTCTTTCCCCCCTCCCTCCCTCAATCCTGAACTCGCCAGCCCGCCCGCCGCCGCGCCCGCGGCACGCGCGGCACGCGCGGCCGGCGCGGCATGTCCGCGGCCGCGCCCCGCACGGCCGCGCCCCGCCGGTCGACGCTGGCCAGGATGACATTGCCGCACGTTCGCAGAAGTAGGCCGACGCTGGCCGAGCTCACCCTGCGCCCCGTGGCGGAGCAGGCCCGGGTCTCGAGGGATCGGGTCGGAGGAAGGCCAGTCAGAGGAGGAGGAGGAGGAGGAGGAGGAGGAGCACAGCCGTTGCCCGATTCGGGGGCGTGGCTCCCCCGCCCGGCCCTCGACACAGGGGTGGGGGGTCACGCGGGCGATGGCCAGGCACGGCGCCCGCCGCGCCATGGCGGTCGAGGTGCCTGTGACCAAGCTCGACACCTCCGCCGCCGCCATCATGAACGAGAACTTCACGGGCCCCACCCTGGTGCATGGGCCCTAGACCTCGAGACTACGGGGTTCCAAGTTTCACTTTCACCGAAGCAGTCAACCGGCTAGGTTGCGCAGCCCGAACATGAAGAGGACCTAGGGTACGGGACATCGCCATCTTTGTCAGCGCGGCAGGCCCCAACAGAGAACACCGTGGCACCATCAAGTCGAAGTTCAACATGATCGTCAATTAGCGCACTGACCTACACAAACACACACACACACCAACACCAACACCAGCGCCTGCGACCAGACCGAGGTCACCAACAGCACCGTCTGGAAACCGCAGCGCAAACTGGAGGCGCCCGAACTCGCCCCATCCATGATAGAAATCGTCTGCCCCGCCAGGCCGCCCAGCCATTGGGACAATCAGCACGGCTACCAGAAGGAGTTCGAGGACGACTACAGCCCATGCGTCCTCCCGCCATTCATCCCCACAATCGCGCACCCGAACGAAGATCAGCTGCAGCAGAGCATCGAGTCCACCATCCACCACGCCCAGAGGCGCCGCTCGAAGGAAACCGAGGACGCCCAGACCTGCACCCACGCCTGCGCCTACCCAGCCACCGACAACACCAACGAGAACCTCAGGTGGGAGGTACGGAAGGGCGGAACCGAGGCATCACCATCCCTCGCCGCGGCCGCTTCCCTCCAGTCGGAGGGGTAGGGGAGCCGGCGACGGGCATGGCTGCCACACGATCCCCCATTGCCTCACGAGGCGCTACGCAAGTGCCAAGTCAGCTGCTGGCCCGTCTAAACAGCAACTGGCGAGAGTCTTTGTCCCTTTTACTGTCGTTGACCAGACATGAAGAACGAGCTTCGTGCGTCGAAAAAGGTAAACCAGTAAGACACCTGAATGCAGACTAAGCGGAGCAGGAGGTGCGAGGAGGCACAGAAAAGTAGAGAAGCTCGAGAGGGCACTAAGCATCAACTGCATGTATCAGCTAGGTATTCCCCTCCCACCGCTTCCCAACATCATCCCACAGGCCCCTGATCCTTCCCATGGCAAGGGCCCTCATCGAGGGCGGTTCGTGCCCTCCCTGAGAGCAGCGAAGCAACGAAGCTAAGCAGCGTATAAATTGTAAGGCTGGCAAAGTTTGCACAGGCTGGCATGTTTGGCACAAATGTGTGTCGCAACTGTCCTACTGGATTGATGATAAACTGGTACATTACTGCTTATGAGCAGGCAGGCTGGCGTGGCAGAGTCAAACATCAGGCGACGTACGTTCCGCCCGCTCTGATGAACTGATGAGGACCCACCACCTACCCATCCGATCCCGCACGTGGCCAGGGCCCTCACCGAGGGCAGCTTTCAGTTTTAACCCTCACCGAGGGTAGCTGGGAGTCCAACGCTCGCGGCCTAAACTTTCGAAATTGCCGTGTATCTTCAGCGTCAATATTGAATTGACAAATCATTATATGCAATTGCCTTCAAAGAGATTTTAAGTAGCTGCGACCAGCTGTCGCACTCCGAGTGCAATGCCAGAAAAATAAGCTACGCAGGAGAGAGGCTACGTTCGCCGTCGTTCGTCTCGGGCGCCGCTGCGCGGGGACATGCGCCACAACATCTAGATGCTCTGTCCACGACGGGTTGCAGAGGACGCAACCGAATGCTCTCATGAATGTTGTCTACTCCCCCACCACCATCCGATTCCTCCGCCACCTCCTTCTCCTCCTCCTCCTCCTCCTACAGGCGCGCCATCGCAGTTGCAGCGGATCGCTCTGCCAAGCCCCCCCTCCTGCACCTCCAACCACGCACACGCGCAACACACACACATACCTTTTCCCACAAGAGAGAGGAGGAGAAGGAGAGAGAGAGAGAGGGAATGAAGCAGGGGCACCTGAAATAGTGAAGTGGGCGGGCCGGGAAGGAGGGGGGATTGGAGAGGCCGCTCAAATTGTATCTTCGGTGATTTATCTACCCTTCATGTCTGCGGCGCGTGTCATGCATCGCGAAGATGAGCGACCTTTCTGAGTGCTGCATGAAAGACAAACATATCAAATATACGTCCTTTGACTTGTAGTTCTATGCCTGAAAGAGGTCACTCTCGAATTGAATGTGCAGCTCTTTCTTTTCTCTGTGTAATGAGCTTCACCACATAACAAACGGTTGTATCAAATGTCATAGATGAAGGTGTCGATATTTCAATTGTTGGTTGGCGTGGTGAGCCTGGTCCACTTGAATGAGTGCCAACTACTTCTGACGGGGTACCAATGTGATCCGTTGAGTGCCGACCACATCTGACTAAGTGCCAGCGACATCTGGCTGAGTGCTTACGTTCCCTGGCTGGGTGCCGGCAACATCTGACCGAATGCCAGCGACATCTGACGTATCAGCCCATCCAATCAAGTTGCTGCAATATTGGTCGAACATTTTTTATGGTTGCAAATATCGTCGTACAGTTGTTCCTCTCCGCCGATTTGAACAACATCATCCCAGAGCGTGTTCAACATTTTTCGGATGCTGGCAAAAACTCGTCTTGAAAATGTGTAGCAGCCTTCGTGAAGTCCTGGTGCAACTGTGTTTTGGTCCTCGGCGCGCGTTCGATGTTTTCGCTCTTGACATCTATAGTTGCGCTCCGCGTGATGACTTGCCAACGCCCTGTGAGTGGATCCTGTGGTCCCATCTTGCCGTCCAGCCGTTGAGAGATGGCTACCTTTGAAGCCGAACGAGACACACAAGTTGTCCAACTCTGATCCCTGGTTTGTTTTCTGGCCTGCCAGCTGAAGAACATGATTGGCTAGCGCCCACACTGCTAGTGTCAACCTCAGGTAAAACTGCACTCACTGATGCTACACTACCACCAAGATCATGACTGTCCTCTTGGACGTGTCTCTACGTCAACTGAATTGTCAGCGGGAAGGCCAAGTGAACTGTTGATTGACACGCCAGCAGAACCAAAAATCTGATCATCACGGCCATCAATATTTGAGGCTGCGACCTCGGGGGCGGGGCCCGTAGGCAGAAGCGCAGAAGCCACTTCCTACCCGCGAGGGTTGATTACTACATAGCCAACTGCGTTGTGCACCGTTTCCTTTGCTGCCTCTGTTGGTGCCTCCGTTGCTGCCTCTGCTGGCTGTGGCGGAGCAGGCAGATCATTGGGCACAGGGAACTTGGGTGGGCCCTCCACTGTGGCGCCGGCAATTGTAAGTACTGCGAGCTCGAATGCCACTTCGGGACGCCATGCCTGTGATTGTCCTCACCTCTTCTCGCAATATGAGACACGTGCTTGTACATTAGACGGACACCTTTTGAGGGCGACGTGAATACGACGAATGCGGGCGGCAAATCCACTTGAATGGAAGCCTTGTACAAGTGTTTGGTGGATGCACCTTTGTTTTCTGATGGACTGGGAATACCGCGAGAAGAAGAAACGCATAGAGAAACATGAGGCGAGAGAAAAGCAGTGAGCGAATGCTACGGCCTCGATCGGTGATCGGATCGATCTCGTGCTGGGCGCGGGCAATACTCCTGTTGAGGGGCCGCGCCTAGCGCCAGTCCGCGTGCCGCAGGGAAGACATGTTTCTCCACTGCGGAACTCGGGCCCGCAGCTCCTTTTCCCCTTCCTCCTCCTCCTCCTCCTCCTCCTCCTCCTCCTCCTTTTCTTGGTACGGTCGCTCCTCCTCCTCCTCCTCCTCCTTTTCCTCCTCCTCCTCCTCCTCCTCCTCCTCCTCCTCCTCCTCCTCCTCCTCCTCCTTCCGTATCCATTTTGGCGCAAGTGCCAATCCCGCGCGCGCGCAGCCCCGGGACCCGCGCGGCGACTCTGCAAGCGCGGAGGCCATGGCATGATGTTCTGGGTCCTCTGCTCGTTCACGTTCATCTACGCTGCACACGCGGTGTTGCTCAACAACCCACTACGTCCTCGCGGTCGCCGTTCACTCGCCGCTCTGGACGCTCTCCGCAAACGTGCGGTGGACAAAGCCTTCCTACACCCTCGTGTTGGCCCCGCATTGGCTCGCACCACGGTCCCAGCAGCCATATCCCGCGAGGCGAAGATCCTCGCCAAGGCAACCGACAACGTGTGCATCCTTGAGACGAAGACGGGCATCCACAGGCGGAATGGCTCCGAGCTCTGCGTTGCGGCAGCTGCACAGGGCCACCTCACCCCGCAGGATGAGCAGGAGTTCAAGCGCTGGAACATGGCTGGCAACATCGCTCGCCACAAATGCTGGACTGCTACATCTCGCACCTCACGTGAGAGCAGTACTACACCCCCCACTATGTCTGCTCTGCCCTCTGCTGACAAGCGCGTCTCCTCGTCGGACGCCTACGACACCGTCTTCCCCGAGCTGAACTCGCTGGCCGCGTCCTCTCCGCCCGAGACGGAGAGCACCGCGGTGCCCGTGGAGCCCGCGCTCCAGCACCCCACGCAGCCCAGCGACACCCTGCACGCCACGATTGACGAGAAGATCGTCACACTCAAGAGCTCGCTCCTCTCCATAGCCGATCAGAAGCTCGACTCCAAACTACAGGCGGGCTTCACGCTTTGGTCCGAGTCCTTCATCACACAGCTATCCACGATGCTCTCCAACGTCATGCAGCCCGCCATCGCCTCCCTCCAAGAGCAGGTTATCACGGAGCTGATGGCGACTATCAACGAGATCCAGGATCCAGCAGCAGGTCGTCGACACGCGCTCCGAGCTTGCCGCCTTGATGGAGACCCGCGTGACGTCTGCACCGCCTCCCGCTCCTGAAGATCCACGCCGGAAGTTCGTAGAGATGCAGCGGCCCCAGACCGCCGCCG